CTGAACCTGACCGCCCCCCGGAGGCCCCACCTCCTGCGCCATCGCGTTGGGCTTAGGGCTTCGACCCCTGGACTTGGGGACATAGAATTCAGTCTCTAGCAATGGGCCCCGGAGGGGACAGCGGCCAGAGGGGTGGGCAGCCAGTGGCCTGTCTGACCTCAGGTTCTGCCCCACAACCCCGCGCAGGACACGTCACGTGCTACTCTGATCTGTGTCCCTGGGCTACACACCCGGTGGGTCCCTAACGCACCTGGGTTCTTCCCCCTTTTTATATATGTATGTATGTATGTATGTATGTATATGTACATGTGTGTATATGTATGTATATGTGTGTATATGTATATGTACGTGTGTGTATGTATGTATATGTACATGTGTATGTGTATGTATGTATATATTGATGTCAGGGGAAGGGAGAGGGAGGGAGAGAGAGAAACATCCATGATGAGAGAGAATCCTGGGTTGGCGGCCTCCCGCACGCCCCACACTGGGGATCGAGCCACAACCCGGGCCTGTGCCCCGACCGGGAATCGAACTGTGACCTCCTGGTTCCTAGGTCGACGCTCAGCCACTGAGCCGTGCCGGCCGGGCTCTTCCCGCTTCTGAGCCAGCCCCTCCCAAGGCTACTTGACAGGACAGGCCCTCGGTTGTCAGGACTTCCCACACTTGGGAGTTTGTTTTCCGGGAGGTGTGGGTGCTTCTGCGGTCGTCTGGGAAGTGCCGCGATTCCCCAGCAAATAGTGGTGCTGTCCCTCCAGCCGGGGACGGCCTCCCTGCAGCGTTCGCCTCCTGCCTGCGGGGTCTGCCCAGCAGAGGGCAGCCGAGAGGCCCGTGTTCATGGGCCAAGGAGCATGTGAGCCATGCGTTTTGCAGCCTGGAGAGGCCCTACTCTGTGTGGACGGCTGGGCAGCAGCAGCTCAGAGTCCTAGCTGGTACAAGCATCCGGCCCAGGGCCACACAGCGCTGAGGCTGGTCAGATCTGGCCAACCTGGTGACCGTCGCCCGAAGCACAGTTGCTGGCAGGTGGCAGGCTGTTTGCCAGACAGACTGGCCGTGGGCAGCCTTGCTCAGGCGGCACCTGACAGCTGTGCCCAGCACCTACCCCAGGCCGTGCTCCGTGGACGGGAGTGAGGACCGGACTGGCAGAGGCTCCTGCTGGTAGGGGCGGGCTCTGGGGCCTGGATTTGGGAGGGTGTCAGCCAGTGTCCGCTGGTCCCTGCAGCCTGCAGTGGTGGGAGGCACTGGTGGGACCCATCAGTCCAGAGATTTCGTGGCAGGAAACTGGGAAGGACACAGATGCCTCCCCAGCAGCCGCCGGGGGTGCAGAGAGGAGGCTGGCCCAGTGATCCGTGGGGCGAGGCCCTGTGCTCCCTCCAGGGTCCAGCCATACAGATTGGAAAACGCATGATGGTGACCAGGGAGAGGGGAGGAGGGGGCTAAAGCCCATCACGTCACGTCCTGGGGGGTATCGCCAAGGCCCTGCCGAGGTGAGGGAACCAGACAGTGTTCAAGGTGGCGCCTGGATGTGATGCGGCCAGAGAGGTGCCTCCCTGGACTGGGATGGGGCTCAGTGGGAAAGGGGGGCCCAGGCCCTGCTGCCGCCGTTGGGTGGCCCGGCCATCACGGGACTCCAGGCGTGGCCCCCACGGGCACTGCTTCCTCCTGGGTGCCAGGGGGGGGGGTCCGGCCAGGCTGAGGGCACGGTAGGTGAGGGCAGAGGCCGGCCCAGCCCTGTGGCCACCAAAGGCTGGGAGGGAAGGGGGAGCAGTGGTGGCCTCCCGTGCGGTGGCTGTGAGCACAGTGGGTTTCCTTGTGCTGCTGGGAAGTGAGGGTGGGCTGCCTCCCTCCGGGCTCGACCGCCACCCTCCTCGCTGGCTGCCCAGGGGCCCGAGAGGGAGGCCCACGCTGTGATCTCGGCCGCAGGCCCAGCTTCCTGTTTCTGTTCCGGGCGGTGCCTGCGTCAGGCAGAGCTTTGCTCTGTGAAGCTGGAAGGAGGTGCTGGGAGGGGCGAGGCCCAGGTGAGCCACTGCCCGTGACCAGGTGCCTGCGGTGCTACTGCTCCTTCCGGGCGGGGACACCCCGCAGGAGGCCAGGCCAGACTCGGGCTCCAGCCGGGCTCCCCTCCCTGTCCCGCGGGGTCTGACTCCCACCCTCCTCGCCGGCCACCGTTGTTCCTCTTCCTGGCCCTGCTCATCCTCGGGACAGGCCGCCCCCTTCTGGGTCTGCGTGTCCTGGACAGCAGGCTTGGCCCTGACCCCGGGAGGCAGCCCTGCCCCGGCTGCACCTCCTGCCCAGGCAGCGCCTCCCGCTGCAGGGAGGAGGCGGGAGCTCAGAGGGGCCAGTTGCCGGGTCGGCAGCAGTGAGGCCAGGACAGAGCCTGGCGTGGTGTCATGCTGAGTCCACTCTCTGTTTTTCCTTTTTAAAAAAATATTTTTTTATTGATTTCAGAGAGGAAGGGAGGAGAGAGAGAGAGAGAAACATCAGTGATGAGAGAGAATCATCCATCAGCTGATGGGCTGCCTCCCGCACGCCCCACACCGGGCCACCTGGGCCTGTGCTCTGACCGGGAATCGAGCCATGACCTCCTGGTTCACAGGTCGATCTCAACCACTGAGCCACGCCGGCCGGCTGGGCTGTTTTTCCTTTTTTTTTTTTAAACATATTTTATTTATTTTTTGCAGAGAGGAAGGGAGAGGGATAGAGAGTTAGAAACATCGATTCAGCTTCCTCCTGCACACTCCCCACCGGGGACGTGCCCGCAACCAAGGTACATGCTCCTGACCGGAATCGAACCTGGGACCCCTCAGTCCACAGGCCGACGCTCTATCCACTGAGCCAAACCAGTCAGGGCTGTTTTTCCTTTTTGTCACGAAAGATCTGTAGTGAGCCTGAGCCCTGGCCGGCTCACTCAGTTGGTTAGAGCGTCATCCTGATACGCCAAGGTTGCGGGTTCGATCCTTGGCCGGGGCACATACAAGAATCAGCCAGTGAATGCATCAATAAGTGGGGAAGCAAGTTGATATTTCTCTCCCTCTCTCTGAAATCAATAAATAAATTTTAAAACTTAAAAAAATAGTGAAGCCTGGCCCGTCCTGCAGCCCCTGGGGGTCTGTCCCGTGTGTCCCGTGTGTCCCCCAGCGGCTGCTGCTGCTGAAGCCCATCCCGAGCCCGAGGCGCACCTGTGGGGCCATGTCTGGCCGACAGGCTGTGAAGCCCCAGGCTGCCAGCGCGGCTACAGCCAAGCACCGTCCCTTCCGTGCAGCCCAGTCATGGCCTGGTGTCTGCGGGGCCTCATGGGTCTGGTCAGGTTCTCGCCTTTCTGGGTCTGTGCACCGCCTGTCCTGGGGCAGCAGGACCCGGTCCAGCCGGTGCTGGTGGGAGGCGCAGGGATCGGACGGCCCGTGGCCAGGTGCTGCGCCTGCGCCTCCCCTCACACCAGGGCCGAGTGGAGACATCTGTGCACATGGCTGACTCCGTGGACGGCAGCCACGCTCTGCGCCCACAGATGCTGAGACAGCCCCGGGTCCAGCATTAATGTGACACACAGGCTCACTGCTGCCACTTGGGTTTCGTTCCAAAGTCAGACGGAACCTGGTCCGCCTGGGTCAGCAGGAGGTGGGGGTGGCCGGGCTGCCCTGTTGCTCATGGCGGAGTCTCGCACCTGCTGCGCCCGGCCAGGGACCCTGGAGGCCAAGACGACCGACCAGACCCCATCCCCTGACCGAGCCCCCTGCACGGCCTGGGCTCCCGGTGAGGACGGACCTGTCTCCTCAGGCTCCCTGGTTGGTGCAGAGCCTCCTGCAGCCATGGAGGAGGAGGAGGAGCAGCCGGCTCAGGAGGTGAGGCCCGCGGGGTGGGCACAGGGCCCGGCCAGCTTCGCGGGGGAGAGCTGTTCCCAGGAGGGCGGCCTGCAGAGCGATGGCCACACAGAGCTTCTGGTCCTGGGGGGGCTCCCGGCAGCACCTGAACGGGGGTGCCTGTCAGGGCGAGTGGATGTCTGGGGCTCAAGCAGCCTCCAGGCAGGGGATCCCCAACTCAAACACGCCCCTTTCCTCCGCAGACCAACACGGACCCCGCGGGGACCTCGGGAGCTGCGGAGATGGTGCCCAGGGCGCCTCCCGGAGAACCCCAGAACCTGTGTTCGTGCTCCCAAGACCACGCGGTGCTGGGCGGCGAGGGTGGGCCGCTCCTGGGTTTGTGGACGGGCCCTGCTGCCCAGGGCGTGGGGGGCTCTCCCTGTGGACAGGAGTTGGAGGCCGAGGACGGGAGCCGGGTGTACGTGGTGGGCACTGCCCACTTCAGCGACGACAGCAAGAAGGACGTGGTGAAGGTGACCGCCACCGCGCTGGGCCTCCCGCACCCCTCTCCCAGGGCAGGAACCTGTTCTGAGGGCCCTCTCTAACTGCTTCAGGACCGCGGGGGCGGGGGCGGCTTGCAGGGTGGGTGTGAGGGGAGCGGAGGGGGCGGCAGTGACGCTGTCCTTGCAGACGATCCGCGCGGTGCAGCCGGACGTGGTGGTGGTGGAGCTGAGCCA